GCAGAGGTGTAGTATTCGGCACTGCTGAGGGTCGAGAGTAGAGCTGTAACAAGTAGAAAATACAGCTTATACAAAAAGTACCCGGATGGCCCATGGGCGTAGATCACCAGCCCCGGCTGAAAGACTACTCTTTTAAGTAGCAATTGCTGGGGAACAGAGATTTAGTAAGAGCTCTTCAGCTTCCTAGATGTAATAGCTTTCACTTTCAGAATATCCTAGTTGAACTACATAGACCTGATTACAGCAGGTAATGTGTCTTTTCAAAACAGCATAACCAAAAATGGATGCGCTTGCCCTTTTTCCTTTTTACAGACTTCAATAACAATTAAGTAACTTCTACCATATGCTCCAGAATAACAATGGAAACATTATGAAGAGAGTGAAAATCTACTGTGACCAAGAAAAGATGCAACTGCTTACTGACAGCACATAATTCATACACCAGAGTAGAGAGTATTTTCATGGATTGTTCTGGAGCTCAAAAGCAGAAAATTATCTATTATTTCCTTTCACATCAGTTAGTCTGGTGATGCCAGGTTTTGCAGTGCTCTCCCTGGAAGCGGCATGTTAGATCTTCTTGGGGAATCCCCCACACTTCTCTATGCTGTAATAAACAGAGGTGCTCAGGAAATGCCTTTTCCACGAGTTAGGTGTGAACTTGTATTCCACAGGGCACACAGGCGAGGAATGTTATCAGGATTCACGTGGTTTAACCTGCAACTTCACCACAAATTTTGAAGGTAATGTTCTTGAAAGTGAATTAATGAATCGGGGATTACTCCTAGCCACACTTGACAAAGGTGACTTCAAATTAATTTTAAAAAAACATGCTGCAAAAAAGGTGAACACTGGTACTCAGCTATGATAAAAGTTATTCAGGAAGGATGTTAACATGAAGTAACAATCAAGTCAAGCAGGAACATAGCAGATTATGTTTTCCTGGTGTTAAGAATAGAAAAATGTTAAAGAAAAAAACCCTTTGTTTTACCTATATATTTAATTGAAACCTTAAGACAATATGCAAGTTATTTAACTATCAGAATAAGTAATTTTTAACGTTAGTATCTCTTTCATACCAGTTGGCAAGCAAGAAGGGAAGCTCAGGGAAACTAACTACACTTTAGTTTTCCCTAACAAAGCAAAGGAGATGCTATAAAACGAGGTAGAATTACATAAGGCAGCCTCAGGAGCCTAAACCAAGTTTTTTTGGTTTTCTCAAATCCTTTCCCTGGTTCTGCTCTTGCCTCTGTCCACCTGCTAGCCCTGACTCTTGCTAAGTGGGATAATTCATTAACCCAGACAAAAATTAACTCCTCTCCCCCAGGGCTAGTGAGTTAAGTTCTTCCATGAAAAGGCCTAACGAGCATTACCACCAAAGCAGAATAGGTGTTGAGAGCAAATGAGTAGCAGAGGGAAAGGAGCTCAAGGTATATGGGACGAAAATAATCTATGGCAGTATAAAATGTTATAGGCTTTAGCTTCTTGGAAATAAAGGTTTCTGGCATTTCAAGATTGCAGCAAATTTTGGTTTACTTTTGTGAAGGCACATGATGAGCCAAGATTTAACGCTTCAAAAGTGAACCCAGACTATTTTGTTTGTCCAGGATCAAAAACAAATTTGATGGTATTGTGTGCGCCATGGTATTAGTAGCAGAATAGAAATATAGCTGAGAAAACAATTACACTGAAAGTACTGAGCAAATAATACAAAGAACTTAGTAAATATCAAACCTGAAACATGAAATAAGATTAAGACAGAACAAAGAGCAGCAACAGATGCCTATGCAGCTCTGGCATATGAATAAAAGCCTGGCCTAATTCAGTGCTAAAAGACATGTCAGAGTTCAAACTGGTTTTATAAAAGGTAAAAAAAACCAAACCCCAAGACCACACAAATCCCTTGTTTTTATACCATGTTAGCATTTTAACAGTTAACTGGGGGAAGAAGCCATTAATATAGGAAATATCCATAGCACATGGAAGCATTTAGATATTTAATAATCAGCAAAATCAACCACGAAGCTGAAAGCATAAAGAAGTATCAACATCTAATTTCCCACTGCCATTAACATTTGAGCTGTTTGTATCAACAGCTGGCCAATACATACAACGTTGCACTTGGTGGGTACCTGAACAGCCGATGCTCAGAGAGATGTCGAAGACAAGCTATCTCCACAGGAGGGTCCTGAAAGGATGTGGTTTTCACTATAATTGATGGGGATAACATCAGCCTTGGAAATAACAGACGTCCCAACCAATGGCTAGCCACTCAAAGACAGGTGACAGCATTCATCTACATCCAGGCAAGCACACAATCAGAAAACAGACTGAGGTAGGGGGAAATGCGGGAGCCTGACGAGTGTTTGCATTTCTCTTCATGTGCACTGTAAGAGCTAAACCCCCAAGAAATGCACTGGTAACCTGCCCAAAGTAGCGCTCATTGCTAGCGGTAGGAAGATAGTAAGGGGAACAGTTCTGGCTCAAAGGAACTGAAACCAGCATCCCCTTTATTTCCTCACAGGCATTTCAAGTTGCAACTCAGATTTCTGTTCCACAGCAATGCATCTCTTGTGAAGATCAGGAAAAAACCCTACTCCCTGTGTCATGGGAGGCATAGTAACAGAGAGCAGCACTTGCACAACAAAACTAATTCTGCAGCCACAAGAACTCATGCCGCTTTAAGAAAATTATTTTCCTAACATGGCTTAACACCAAGAGCTTGTACCAGAGCCAGTACTGGAGAATACTGATGAGGATACACAGTCTCATGGCATCAAATATAAAATCTACCTTGACTACGGAGCATCATCACTGCTGATGCTTAATACTTAGAGATGCTCTACCTGCTTAACAGATGAAGGGCAAAGATCCCAGCCTCTTCCAGCTCCTGAACACGTCAAGAAAACCCCTCAGAGGCCTCAGTTCATCTTAACCAAAGTGAAGAGCAACGATACTCTGCTTCTGGGCCTTTTAAGATATACCTTCAGGGTATGCTTTGAGTACTGCTATAAAAAGCCTTGAAGGCAGAAGAGTAAGCCAGAGCTGTACGGTTTCTTGTTGGTCCAGCTTTCTTTTCCCAGGGTACTTTTCCCTTCTTACCCATTTGTGGTTTGAAAGGTCTGTAGCTGGAAAACTTCCAATGTACTCACTCCTAAGTTAACGGAGGCAGTTTAACAAAAACAAAAGAGCTACCTCACTCATTAGGGAAGTTTGATTACACAAAACTGCTTACATCCAGCAACTGAGCAGACATGAAATGGCACTAAGTGCACTTTGCATTGTATCTGTCAGTTACAATATCCTAATAGGCACAAGGATATCTTTTTCAGTAAGACTAAGAGATTCTCCTGACAACAGTTTTTCCAGTGCTCTCCCCCATTCATCATCAGCTGCAACAGTGCTTAGAAACTCCCAAGACACGGCACAAAATAAACGTTGTACTTTGCTGCAGATAGTATTTTCTCATAAAACATTACAGATTTACAGGCTTACTACTAAGCACTGCAAGTTATGAAAAAAAGGAATTACAATTCACTGTCTTTAACACTGAAAAGACACCTTTCACCAACTTTATGCTATTTGGTCCTGGCGACCAGGTCCATTCAGTGAAAAGGCTATTATTCTGTGCCTAATCATGCAGCAGACAGGGATTCCTCCTCAGCACACAGATAAAAGGGATAGGCTATCATCCATAACTACATAATGTCTCTGAAAGCAGTCACCCCGAATTTTTTCATGCTTGATCACTTTCAAAAGAATCTTAAGGCTGCCCAGGGAAGATACTACAGCAACCTCCTTCCGTTAGTTTCCTCAGTGGGTTGAGACCACGACTCTCGCTGCTTTCCAGCTACACAAACACATGCATAAAACCATCTTTTAACTGTCAGAAGCCAAGTACCTCTGGCCATCTATTTTGAGAGTATGTTTAAGCTAACACTACCACTGATAGCACCAGTCCTACCTTTGATATGAATCATTATCTCCCTATACCAAAACAAAGCTTTACAGGGCTGTGAAGACTAAGGGAATTGAAACTAATTAAATCCAGCTCAGTCAAGAAGAAATAAACATCTCTGCTTATGTTTTGTTCCCTTTATATACAGATGAGCAGAGGGTTTTGTCACTTTATCAGCCCTCCCCCCTCAATCTCACTCTCAGTTCCAGTTCTATTTCAGTATGTCCGTGTACATAATTTTAAAGCACTATTTAAGCCATTAACAAAACTGAAGCAGTATTACAGTATGTAGAACAAGATGCTGTATTTTGTTTCAGAAAAAAATTACAGAACTTGTCTCTTTGGAGACACCTATA